GGTTTCCATCAAAACACCGTGGTTCAAATTTAGGGAGTTTGATGTTCCTATTATCCCTGAACGGCGAAACAGTAACATCAACCATGTCATGCTTAACATCAGACACATCGTTACAATTAACAGACAAGTCACCATGACTTACTTTCCTGTTTGCATCCAAGACACTCTGTCCCTTCTTTGACCCAGGCATTGTTGAACTTGACCCAATTCCAAAAAGTTCCAGATATTGCTTGTTCAAAGAGGACTTGACCGGCACCAGGAGAAATGAACGGCGACTATCCAAACTTTCACCAACTGTTTCAATCCGCCAGATCTGTTTCTATCGTCAGAAACTGTCAATCACGTCTCATAAACCGTTAATGCCCAGCTCTCGCTACGCTCGGGCCCACGCTGTTCTTCGAAGATTTCTCAGAAACGCTTAGTTATAACGGACGCAAAAACCAAAACACTGATCTGCCGCTTTAGCTTTGTTTATTGTTACACCAACATATAAAAGGAATAAGCGAACTAAGGTCTGAAAACAAATATTACAATAATAAATCATAAGATTACTTCTGACGATGTTTCACTCTTCTTTCTGAACAGCGACCGATGAGACGATGACTGTCGTATTGATGCCTCCGCGAAAATTGGGGAAGTTGATTTTAAGCAAACAACCAAGAATTGATCGTTCAATCTTCAACTCCATTGACAGTGTTTCTTTTGGATAGCAGATTTCTAAACAGAATTTCAGATGGGATGTAATATTAGAGATATTGTCATCAAGTGAATCATCATTAAACAGATCCCATCTTGTGTCACTGAGCATGCTTCTAAGATGATGTACGTTCTCATTTGAGTAGCATCTGTGAATAACTTTCTTAGACAAGTTTGAGAAGGCTTTACTGTGTAACTTTCCGTAAATTTTGGGTAAGACTCGTACAATATAATGATCAGAATTGAAGAGTGGGGCTCTTTTACGAGCTTCGTATATTCCAGAATCATTTATAAATACTAAATCAAGTGAAGTATTTTGTCGAGTTGGGAAATTAACAACATTTTCATGGCCCAGCAATGTAATAAAACTGCAGTCACAGGAGTTGAAGTCGCCAGTCACTATAGATAAGGAGTTACCAAACGAAGCAGCACCAAAAATAGTGAATTCATCAGCAAAGATAGATAGTTCTGCAACAAGGTGTGATATAGATATTTGGGACAAAAATAGAGCTATACTTAGGTAGGTGTTTAGGTCGACATTTTACAGTTATACAGTCAATATTGTCATTTGAGAATTTGAAGCAGACGTTGTTGGCAGTAGACCACTGAGAGTTTATAAAAGTGGCAACACCACCACCTCTCTTCTTCTTTGAGCTGCATCGGTCTTGTCTGTAGATTGTGAAACCACTTAAGGAGACTAAATTATCGTCATATGAGTCGTGGAGCCAAGTTTCTTGAAGAATAATTACACCAGTATTACAATATACATTTGAGTATAATAGAGAATGCAAGTAGTTAATCTTGTTCGATAATGACCTGCAATTTGTGCTTATATTCACAGGAATAGTCATCTGATGCATTGGAGTACGCTTTAATGATCTCTGCCACCCACCATGATGCTTTTTCTTAAGGTTATTATATACCCGTAAATCAACAGGTTGAAAACATTTTAAATAATCGCGAGAGTAAGTAATGCGACTTGGATACATAATTGAATAATTAAAACAAAATAAATCCGAGGAAATAGATGCAAAATGTAGGATGGAAATTTTGGTAGCCCAAGATCTAAGCAGGCCGCCGAGTCAAAGCCCTTGGTTTATGTGGCGTGTATTTTAGAGTCAGACCGACAATGACGCATACCTGGAACTCAGGAACCGGTGCATTGCAAGATTCAGAAGTGACCGGCGGTAATTTCAGACTAACCTTGCCAAAAACTCTTAGCAAACACCGAAAAATTGTATCGATTCATGTTTTTTATTTTTTGATTACAGCTTGATTCCACACTGTATTTTTGGTACAAGTGTGGAATTATCAGCATGGATATCGGAAGCCCAAATTTTGCAGGCCGACCAAAGATATCGGGTGTGCGTCGACAGGGGTTCGAACCTCCGACCATGGTCGGCGAGAGTCCCAGCCACAGTGCCACCGTCGGAAAGAAAACCAAATAACCAGGGGGCATGCGCCTCAGTAGGCCAAAACGGTCAGTATCTCACTAGTCTGGAGATGGCTGAAACACTCAGTTTAGCCTTCGCCAAACAGCTAAACAGCAATGTGGGTATTACCGTTACGGACCAAAATGGTGGCACTGCTATTTCACAGGAGGAAGAACTAGTGGCTACTCCCCAAATAAACTCCGCCAAAGTACTAAGGAAGCTACAGAGACTCACAGGTTGTGACGTCATCAGACCATCTGTTCTGAAACAGTGTGCCGATGCCCTCGGTAGGCCCCTGTGTGACTTGTTCCAACACTGGATGGATTCAGGGAAACTGCCAAGGGCCATCCTTTCTCCCATCTTCAAGGGTGGGGATAGGTAAAATTCCACTAGTTATAGACCAGTAGCTCTACTCCCAGTGGTATCAAAAGTACTGGAAAGTATTATTAACGATCACATCAGGGAGTACCTCGATAGGCCTAGTATATACCATGAGGCCCAATACGATTTCAGGAATGGCGGATCCTGTGTGACAAATCTACTATCAGCTTGGAACGATTTGACATCATGCTGAGATATGAATGTTCCAGTCCATGTGGTCTTCCTAGACTTTGAGAAGGAATTCGGCACTGTTCACCATGACCTCCTGCACAAAATATGCCAGGCAGGTATAGGTGGGCCACTTCTGTCATGGTTAAAGAACTACCTAGCTGACAGGCAATTTTGTACTAAGGACAATCGAGTCCGATCATCTCGTCACAGTTGGTCATCAGGAGTGTCTCAGGGTTCTATCCTGGGACTACTGATGTTTTTGATTTTTATCAATGATCTACCATGCTGTCTAAGCTGCCCGACTCTTCTACACTCTGACGTAAAGATATGGAGGGCGATAAAGTGTCCAGAGGACTCAGATAGGCTGCAGGAAGATCTAAAGCTTCTGTAAGACTGGGCGGTGGCCAGTGGCATGACTTTCAACCTGAAAAAGTGCAAAGTAGTGAACTTACTCACCTGTAGACTGCAGAATGCAAGTTACACGCTGTGCAATGAAAGCTTGTCCTGCACAACGTCGGAACGCGACTTAGGTCTAGTTCTAACAGAAAAAATGGACACAAGCGTAGATTACACGGGGGACGTAGAGAGGGCATATGTGGTCATACACTTTACACATAGACAGTTAGGTGCACCCACTCCTGAGCTCTTTTTAAGGTTGTCAGAATATACGTCAGACCAAACCTTGAAGTGCGTAATATTATTGCACCCCCCAGTGCTTAGAAGAGACGCCAACCTATTGGAAAGAGTCCAACGACGGGTAACAAAAGGAGTGGTTGTTCTCCGAAATAAACCATATGATGAAAGGCTGAAGAAATTAGGCCTGTTCACACTTAGCTACCATCGGCTTAGGGGGGATTTGATTACCGCCTACAGAATAACGAATGGACAGAACCACCCAAACAAAGGTGTTCTGCGATTGAGTAGGTACAGGCTCCCTCGTGAAAATTTTAGAACGATAACTCACCAGAGGGCAAGGACATGGGTGCGCTCCCAATTCTTTTCACTGCGGGTTTGCCGTCCCTGGAATTCCTTACCGGCAGATGTAGCTATGGCACCGTCTGTGGATTCCTTTAAACGAAGGCTGGAAAATCATGCAGGACTGCGGCCAAATGGCGTCGGTGGCATGGTGGTCAGGACTCTCGCTGACAAAGCACATGGTCCGAGGTTCGACCCCCTGCCGATGCACACCTGATATCTATCGCCGGCACGCAAAATTTAGGCTACCGACATCGCATGCTGAAAATATCATGCTTGTACCAAAAATACAGTGTGGAATCAAGCTGTAATAAAAAGACCCATACACCATTCAGGAGTAGAAAACTAAGTTTGTCGTTTTACTTCTTTACATTCTCTCCCATCTCACTCTCTTGACAACTTTAACTACATTTATTATTGTTATTGTTACCCATATAAATATATATATATATAATACTCATATTATTCTTCAAATTTCATCAGCTAACTTTTGTTACGTTTTCTTTATATCTTTCTGTCTGTTGGTCCGAATAACTTCATTAATTATATCTATTATCTCTTTTCTTTTGACGATGATGTCGGAGGACTAACTAGAGAAAGGATCAACTCCATTCACAGTAGCAACAATCTTAACACACCTAATACTACAAACCAAGTATAATTAATCCCAGCACTACTCCTTTTGGAGTCAACCCAAGCTACATCAGTCGAGTCGGGGGTGCGACCGACACAGAAGTTTACCGAAGATCGGGGACCTATACCTCACAATCAAGTGGCGAGTAAGGAGAAATCAAATTGGTTTATACTAGGGCGTAGACCCCAAATAATAAATTACAGAGTTCAATGTTCAGTGGACCCCTTTCGCACCACCCTCATATTTGAGCCCATACTAGGTTTCTCTAATTTACAAAATATTCCTTTAGCATTAGAATGCATTGTTGAAACATAGACCAGAATCACTCCAGCATTATTGTCACCTTGTGACATGGCAGCATGTAACATGCCGACGATCAGAAATGGGGTCGCAATTCAAAGGCTGGTCTTGACCTTGGAACAGGTATCTTGATGCCACTGTGCGTCCTATTCCCATCTATCAGACTTAAACACTTGTGGATATTGGCCCTAGCACTCATAGTTGCATTTATCATAGTCGATCACCACGAGTTTTCGTTAGTTCCAATCTGGGCCTTCCATCTGAATGGCACCAAACCTGTTCAAAATCATTCAAGTGATAGTCATGTTTTTCCATCAAATACAATTGTTGAATATGCACACAATGGTTACAACACTTTCATGTCAGTTGTCGCTCCTACCTCTGAATATATTTCCTTTGAGCTTCCTATGATGGAAACCGTTGTGAACGCAATTTCTGGGCTTGATTGGAAAGCAACTAAGTTCCTGGAATTTCGGAAAGTTGTAGGTAAAGGCTTTCGTGGACATACGTTGCGAAAACAATCTCTCAACTACAAAAACAGACCAGTAACTAATTAATTTTTCCAATAATCACAGTAATTGATCAAGGTACACGTTGTTGTAGAGGTTTGCAGGTTAAAATCTGAGATGAAGGAACTTGTTGTTGAAGTGGCACTATACGACAACCGTTTTGTAGTGGTGTGGAAAAGACCTTTGTATCGGATACGAGCAGAAGAGTTCGTGACGGATCCGAAATCTATCCCAGTCTCCTTATCAGTCGCCCCGACTTGTGGTTTAGTATATCCAAGACAATGTGGAGTGGCTTTCGTTGGATTTCCGACAAATGAGTAAGTTTTCTGTCATGTGTTATTTTCAAGTCATTTCAACTAACTAGTCCAATTGACCTGCTGTAAGATCAAATAAACGGGGAATTGGTGAGACTGACTACCGGTTGCCTGTACAGTAATGTGAGAGGGCTAAGAAGCAAAGTAGTTGAACTTAGACACCTACAATCACAACTGAACTCCAAAATCATAATACTGAAAGAAACCTGGCTAACCCCTACGGTGGCAGACAGCGAAGTCAGTATAAATGATATGGTCCTAGTCAGGCGAGATAGGGACCTGAAAGAAGGAGGTGGAGTCGCCATATACGTCGACAAACAGCTCAGATGTGTTCACGCGATGGACCCTCCCCTCACAGAGCTCCCTGACTCCATATGGTGCCACTTCACCGTTGGGTACTGCAAATATCTAGTGGGCAGCATTTATCGATCACCTTCATGTGGAGCAGACCACAACCAGGTACTGCTAAATACAATCTCAGCGACTCAAGACATGGGTTATGATCAAATTGTCATAGCTGGTGACTTCAATGCCCCATCTCTTAACTTGGTGTCGGGAAAAGCCCATGATAGATTTGATCGAAATCTGCTGCATACCATCAGGAAGGCTGGATTCACTGAAAATGTCAAGATGGATACTAGATGGGGCCCTGATGGGAAGTCTTCTAGACTGGATTACGTGCTCACTAGTGACCAGCTACTAGTGGAAAACGTTCAGATCACGACTCCCATAGGTAGTAGTGACCACGCGGTCATAGTATTCGACATAGTCCTCCGCGAGCGCTTACAGTGGGACAATACACAGCCCTATCTGTGTTATAACAAAGCCAACTACACCAAAATGCGAAGACTTCTGTCTGAAGCAAATTGGCCTAAAAAATGGACAGAGCTAACAGTAGAAGAACACTGGAGAGTGGTAAAGGAGATCATTCACCAGGCGGTCTCAGACACTGTTCCTTTAGTCACACCAAAAGCTAGGAAGCAACGATCATGGCTAACAAGGGGGACACAACGCCTTCTGCAGGCGAAGCGAAAAGCCTGGTTTGCGTGGCGACGATCGAAGAGTCAACCCGAACATGAAGTGTACCTTGAACTCAGGAATCGATGTAACATACGAGTCCGGAGCGATAGAAGGACATTTCAGGGAGACCTCGCCAATAAGCTTCTCGTGAACCCCAAAAGCCTATACAGGTTTATGGCCGAAAGAAAACCGACCAACCAGGGAGCATGCAATCTAGTGGGTTCTGATGGGAAATCTCTTACTAGTCTTGAAATGGCAGAGACATTCAGCCTAGCCTTTCACAGGCAACTAAACAGTAACGAGGATATTACCCCCACAGAACATCCAGATTACATCGCAAAACCAACACGCGAAAACCTGCTGGGTACATTTCAAATTACCCCGGCTATGGTACTTGCAAAATTGGGAAGGTTGGCTTCGGGAAAGTCTTCAGGTTGTGATGACATCAGACCATCTGTCCTGAAGCAGTGTTCAGAAAGTCTCTGCCAACCCCTAAGTGATCTGTTCCAACACTCCCTTGATGTAGGGAAACTTCCATGTGAATGGAAACGTGCAATCCTATCCCCTATCTTCAAGGGTGGTGACCGGCAGAATGCGACCAGTTACAGACCAGTTGCTCTACTTCCAGTGATATCGAAGATATTGGAAAGTCTCATTGACGACCACATGAGAAAATACTTCGATGGGACTAACCTTCTTCACGAAGCACAGCACGGTTTCAGGAGGGGAAGATCCTGCGTGACGAATCTTCTACTAGCCTGGAACGATTGGACACTATCCTGGGACAAAAAGGTACCAGCCCACGTGATCTTTCTCGACTTTGCGAAAGCATTCGACACAGTTCACCATGGTCTGCTCCTTCACAAAATAGGCAAGGCGGGAGTTTCTGGAGCACTTCTCGCATGGCTGACAGATTACTTAGGCGAGAGAGAATTCTGCACCAAAGTCAACCGCATCCGATCATCTTGGCACACCTCGGCATCAGGGGTTCCTCAGGGTTCTATCCTAGGGCCGTTGATGTTTTTGATTTTTATCAATGACCTGCCCCCCCAACTAAACTGCTCTGCGCTTCTTTACGCTGACGACGTAAAGATTTGGAGAGCAATAAACTCATCGGAAGACTCAGATAGATTGCAGGCTGACCTGCAAACTCTGGGAAATTGGGCTTTGGCTAACGGAATGCCTTTCAATCTAAAGAAGTGCAAAGTAGTGCAGCTTCATTCCGGCAGGTCACAGAGTGTAAATTACACCCTTGGTGGCCAGAACTTGAGTTGTGTTCCATCAGAGCGTGATCTAGGTCTTATTCTAACAGAAAAGCTAGACACCAGTGGAAATTACTCGAGGGACGTCGCCAAAGCCTACGCAACATTACACTTTATGCACAGGCAGCTGGGAGCTCTCACTCCCGAACTGTTCTTAAGGCTATACAAGGCATATGTGAGGCCACACCTTGAGGTGCATAATATCATTGCACCTCCGCTACTCAAAAGGGATGCTAACATTCTAGAAAGTGTCCAGAGACGAGCGACAAAATGGGTGATCGGCCTCCGCAACAAATCATATGAGGAAAGACTAAAGAAATTAGGTCTTTTCACACTCAGTTACCGTAGGCACAGGGGAGACCTCATCACCGTCTACAAGATCCTAAATGACCAGGCCCACCCAAATAAAAGCATCCTGCCATTAAGCGATTATAGGCTTCCACGAGGTAACCCGCTAAGGATAGCACACCAGAGACCAAAGACTCGAGTGCGATCACATTTCTTTTCGCTTCGTGTTTGCCGTCTCTGGAACGCTTTACCGGCGGCCGTGACTACAGCGCCATCTCTGGAGATTTTTAAGCGGAAGCTAGACAATCATGCAGAAATGCAAGGTTTGTGTCTCAATGGCTTATCCTCATAAAATTTGAAACCAAACTGTCAATGAATAAGCGTACTAACTAAATCCCCACGACCTATTCTGCCTTCTCTCACTCTATCTTTTCCTTATGTCACCTTTATTATTCCACTTATCTCAACCTATATTATCTACACTACAACCTATTATTATTATTATTACTATTCTGCTTTTATGACTACACCGAATGACCAAGGGGAGTTAGGTCAAACTCCATTCACGGCAGCAATACAGTCCTAACATACTGCATACTACAAACCACATCTCGACCAATCCCCGCACCACTCCTCCTGGAGTCTACCAGAGCTAAAGCAGTCGAGTGTCGGGACTTACTACGCAGAAGCTCACCGAAGATCTGGAACCTCTACCTCACAATCAAGAAGCGAGCTCAAAGAAATCACTGGTTTATACTAGCTCGTATTCAGGATATTGGATATTGTTTCAGAAATGGGGTCGCAATTCAAAGGCTGGTCTTGACCTTGGAACAGGTATCTTGATGCCACTGTGCGTCCTATTCCCATCTATCAGACTTAAACACTTGTGGATATTGGCCCTAGCACTCATAGTTGCATTTATCATAGTCGATCACCACGAGTTTTCGTTAGTTCCAATCTGGGCCTTCCATCTGAATGGCACCAAACCTGTTCAAAATCATTCAAGTGATAGTCATGTTTTTCCATCAAATACAATTGTTGAATATGCACACAATGGTTACAACACTTTCATGTCAGTTGTCGCTCCTACCTCTGAATATATTTCCTTTGAGCTTCCTATGATGGAAACCGTTGTGAACGCAATTTCTGGGCTTGATTGGAAAGCAACTAAGTTCCTGGAATTTCGGAAAGTTGTAGGTAAAGGCTTTCGTGGACATACGTTGCGAAAACAATCTCTCAACTACAAAAACAGACCAGTAACTAATTAATTTTTCCAATAATCACAGTAATTGATCAAGGTACACGTTGTTGTAGAGGTTTGCAGGTTAAAATCTGAGATGAAGGAACTTGTTGTTGAAGTGGCACTATACGACAACCGTTTTGTAGTGGTGTGGAAAAGACCTTTGTATCGGATACGAGCAGAAGAGTTCGTGACGGATCCGAAATCTATCCCAGTCTCCTTATCAGTCGCCCCGACTTGTGGTTTAGTATATCCAAGACAATGTGGAGTGGCTTTCGTTGGATTTCCGACAAATGAGTAAGTTTTCTGTCATGTGTTATTTTCAAGTCATTTCAACTAACTAGTCCAATTGACCTGCTGTAAGCTCAAATAAACTGGGATGTCAGGTGTTACGAACACATTTCTAAAGCACTAACTGGGTGGACATTCATTGTTTTGTGTTTTCAGGTGCTTCCAGCTAATAAGCGTAGTTCAGGTACTTCTTGCATGTAGGTCATATGTAGTTGTCTAGAAATTCAATGGTCGAAATAGATCCTTCTCTAATTATGTACTGATGATTGCTACTATCATGGTAATCAGAAATATATATTCATCTTGAATGCAAAGCACATTTTGAAGCATCAGTGGAGTATTACTCCAACGAACCGACTGTGATAATCATCATCTACAATTTAGTCCAAGTAATCAACACAAGGTCTTAACCTAAGGAGAAACATAGTTTCAATCAGCGACCACCAACATCAAGCCAATGATGGATACAGATATATTATTTTGCCGTGAGTTATTGATGGCGGAGTCCTTTAAAATTTCCCGATTCTTCTAGGACATGTGTATGGAATCTGATAATTCATTAGCTTCCGCACGTATGTGTATCACTAAATGGAAGGAAAAAGTTACATATCCAACTTCCTGATGAAAATCTGAGGTGTGTTTCTACAGGAGTTAATTAAGCTTATCTGGGTATGACAAGAGTACTTATCTTAAGAAAGCCTAATACTATATTTAGTATGCTTTAGAAATAGTAGGGATAACCCATAACCTACAACCAAGTATTGATAAAAGCCAGTGGATTAACATGCCTTCTAACAAGGTGACTAACTCAAGAATGAGAATGACATCTGCTACCTCTCGACATGATGGGGGGTGAAAGTTGATTGAATGTCAGCTGACTGAAGATCTTTTGACGACTGTGAAAAATGGTGCCCAACAAAGTGAGAGAAACAGAAATGGTATCAATACTAGCAATATTCCCCAACCTTTTAGGTTTACTGGAGGTTAGGGAGGGTTGGTCCTAAAACCCTATGGTAATTGAAATGACCTTTGATAAAGGATGGAACATTGATAACTTCACTGTCTGTCTGTCTGTCTTGATTCAACATAGAACTTGGCACCCAAGTGCAGCAGTTCGAGTTGCCACGTTCCAATTAGCACACAAAAATAGACAAGAAGATGAGTGAAGAGAATCAATACAGTCTGACAAGTATAAGAGTGAAACAGAATGGGTAATGGTAGAAAGGAATATGAAAGATTACAGAGACTGAATACATCTGCGCCATTGACAACGCTTTTGAGCCATGTCACCTATTGTCTCCAGCCATTGATTCCTAGAGTCCCGAGGGCCCCAACCCGGGAGTCTGCATCTCCCTACCTGACTCAGTTTAACTGTCAAGGATTTCATGGATTGATGAGGCCATGTTTTTGTTTGGCCACCACTGGCTCTTTTCCAACCTGAACCTATATCAGCTAGCAATGCCGTCGGGGAGGCGGTGGTTAGGCATGCGCAGCACGTGACCTAGCCATCTCAATCTATGTAACTTTATAGCCTCGTCAATTGATTTTCCCTCTTTGCCCAACACTACGCCTAACGTCAACATTACTTACCTTGTTAAACCACCTAACGTGAGACAGAGATCGCAGATATCTATGATCGAAAGCACTCAACCTTTTCATGTCTTCAACTCGTATTGGCCATGTTTCAGAGCCATAGAGAAGGACGGAGCGAACTGCTGAGCAGTACACACGTCCCTTGGTTGATAACCGGATGTCACGCCTACGCCAGGATAAAGGATCAGAGCACTGAGTTCTGCTGATCTCAAACTCCACAACAGTTGTTCACCACCTGACTTTGTTATGAATGAGATTTAAAATTGTGTTAAGCATCAGTACGTGATTGTATGACTCCAGAGGAGTTTAGCGACAGCGGTGATAAATTATAAACTAGGACACGTGACACTGGTTACCCCCATATTGACCAATTAGTGTATATTGATCACCAAGTTAAAAACCACTTATAAAACAAGAGTGATTCGAAATCAAAATATATTTTTTCTATTCACTTTTGAGTTTTGTCACTTTTCTTGTTTTGAACTATCAGATGAATACAGAGGATGAGGTGAAATCTCCTCACTAGATATAATATAATATCATATCACAATAATTTTTGAAAGGCTGATTTTAATTCTGATATATGCAAATAGAAAGGTATGGTTTATCTCCGCTTTTCGCAACTGAGTAGAACAAAACAAATTGGAGAATCGCATGACCATTGCTAGGGTGGCACAATTAATAGTAAATAAAGGAAATATTTTCAGTCATTTACAGAATGATCATGAACGTATTAATAGTATGAACACACTCATATTGTGTACCATCAAACATTGTTTTCTCATTTAGGAAATAGATCAATCAATGCATCATTTAACTCTTGTAGAAAAGTTGGATCTCAAATTAGTCTTGATCAAAATGAATTCAGTGGATTTCAGACGAATTTCCAGCTTACTAAACCATTTTTACGATGGGTATCATTGAGGGTTCTTCAGAAGATACTATTGTACCCAGGATAGAAGTTTATACCTTAGGTAACGTTTTTCAAAATCCACAGGCTGGATCATAATCTCTGCTTCGTTATACATACTCGTCATACTTGGTCGTTTCGTTAAATCATTAACACCACTTTCAGGAGATGGAGATTTTAAAGATGTATCTAATTTATCTGTAGATCCATAGTTCTTGGTAGCAGATGGTGGTGTGTTCAAGCGAGACGATTTACTACTTGACTCTGCATCACTCGGAATTGGTTCACTAGCCGGCTTCCTCCTACTTGTTGAAAAAACAACAAATACGTTAATAAATACTTCATTTTAATGGTGTCTGAGCACAGCCTTTGTGGACCGATGGAAAAATAAAGGGTTTTTCAATGACTGAATGCAGCAATTCAGTTTCTCATTGTTTTCTAATGTCCTATGGATCCTCCAAGTAGCCTAATCTATCCTTCAGGTTACAGAACAACAGTCAGAAATGTTGTAGATGTATGTTATTTGTCACGTTCTTTCTGTTCTACTTTATTGCTATGAAATATGGTTATCGAGAATAGATATAAAAAGGTCAGCCTCAGCTCAAGTTATGGTGGTAGGCGTAAAGTGTTAGTTGAGGATGGTAAGTTAATCGAGAAAGCTGTGTCGATTCAGATGTTGAAAGCGTGTGCTACATTGCGTGATAAGCAATCTCACGGTAATAAAGATTTTGAGGTGGTCAGAGGAAAATGCCGTTAGTTAATGAATTCTTTGGTTGTCGTATTCTGCGTCTCTAGGTATAGACCGCTTTGCCGAAGTCTGCGGGGTGGTATGTAGTGGGTCTTTTGTTATAGATTTGTCATGTTGGTAAACCTCTATCATATAGCTCATTCATCCCGTATTTAGATTTTATTTTGGTACTATTATGAAGAAATGTCACGTTTATGTGTTTGATTTTCAGTGATGTTTGGTGTTGTTTTTGTTTTAAGTAGACTAAAATGAAGCGCATACAAACTGTCGGCATAGATGTTGATGATTGAGTGATGAAGCTATTAGGTTGACGAACATTTCATTTCGATTTATCACTATTAATTCATGTTTTTATCATAAGGTGTTGTAACGACGTATGAATAACAACCTACAGAGTGGAATGGTTCGTAAGACACTTGACCTCAAAGTATCATCATTGGCTGGCGAAATAAATATAAGTAAGTTGTTGTGGTTCGATGCATTGAGTTATATACCACACCGATCACGTAACGGTTGGTGGTCCTGTTAGACTAACGAAATATTGATAGATGAAACAGCGTGGAACACTTGCTCAAAAATTAATCCATTATTCTTTCGGTTATATCAGTGTTTTTTTTCATGATGTCATTCTTATTTGCAGCTGTATTTTTTGAAGTGTTGCAGCTTAAACGGATGCATTTTTGTGTGCAGATGTCCAAGTTAAATTAAAATAGTTAGTGAAATTTTATGAAGACTACATTTTATTCATTATAAGTTCACTTGTCTTTCTAGCATCCATGATGGTCATTATTCCGCAATATCACTCTCGTTGGAAGATGGCATAGTGTTATGGCATCATTTGGTTGGCGATTTCGAAGACTCATCAAGAAAGGTAGTTTTTTTCTGTGCAGCGAAAATAGTGTTCTAGTATCTTCTGTGTTTATTGTGACTCACTAGGCTTATATGCTGGTCTGCTAGTCAAACTTTTTATTACGTAAATCATGGTAATATTTGCGTGTCTATGAAAGACCACAGCATCAAATAATTCCACTCTTACTCACAAACATACAAACAAAGGCAGTTTTTAGTTGCTTGGTTTTCATTAGACATTAGATAAGAGTTGAATGCAGAATGCACAATTATTTCATGAACCTGACTGGCTTGATTTTTTGATTCGGTTTTCAGGTCGAAACCGATAAGTAGTGTTCACTGCTTTGACTACAGTTTGAATTATATTTTTAATTAATGTCATTAAAGTAGTTGGTTAGTATCTGCAAGTTATATCATTATGTGGATGCTTTCGCTAACATTATTTCATATATCTTCCGTGGTAGTAATGTCCTGCAGTGAGGTTAATGGATTATATTGGTAATTTTAATAGGTATGTCATTGTTATTTGTATTATTTTCTCAATATAGTTTCATGATTTACTATCAAAAAACTGGAAATTAGGTCTGTCGAAGCAGTTTCAGTTCAGCACACATGGTGAATCACCGTGGATAGAATATAGAAGCTGTCTTTCTCAAGTTTTGGTGAGTTTGCTGATCAGTGTTGAGTTTTCCTGAATCTTGTCATTCTCTCTCTCTCTCTCTCTGTATATATATATATATATATATATATATATAGACTGGTTTTTGACTCCATGGTCTGTATCGTTTACCAGAAGCTGTGCGTAGTAGGTATCCAATCGATCAACTTCGCAAGTTTTTGACTCGGTATACATTTCCATTTTTAGCCATTAGATTTATTCACAGATATTCCATCTAAGTGTTAGCAAATTCAACTAGTAACGCGCCAATTTCGTCCAAACTTTTATTTCGTCCTACTTACCTGTAGACTTCACTTAGAAATCTGTGGTGAATTTTTGGCAGTCCGGACACTTCCAAATTTAGTAGTCACATGTTATAGTAGAACTAATTTTTACAGTCAAAATCACTCTACAAAATGGATGTTTTTGCGTTTCAGTTTATTGGCATTTAAAATTTTTATACTGCGTGGGAATGTTGTCACGGCCAGTGTGTGAATGCACCATTAATAAAGACTAGTCTTTCGTTGCATAATGCGTATCACAGATTAGCACACTTTTATCTAACGTATTCAGAGATTCAATTTTAACAGCACTTTTACTCAGAGGAGAGCGTAAACATTATGCTGATCGCTATGTATGCTGTTCCTATATAGACTGGAATATTCAGACCTCAGAGAACACGTTTTCAGAGCAAGTTTTATCTGCTGCACGGGGATGACAGACAAATTTAAAGTTGAGTTTGTTTTTAATTTCATTCTTTATGTGGAGAAGTGTCAAATCGTATAGCAGAAAGTTTGGAAGAAAAACTTGTCAAAGGCAAGGTTTAATCGCTTATTGAATAATTGTTTCTTAAGTATCTTAGGTATTTCCTTTAACTTTCATTATCTCACATCGTAAGTAGTGCATGCAACTGGCCTGGTAAGGCTATTATATTTGTATCTCATTTCACTCCACACCCTATGCAGGTCAGTTTACTTGGCCCTACTCATTCCTCTTATATATCATGTATAGCCTGTTCGTTGGTTCGGCATGCATAGCAGCGAAATCCATCTTATATATGCAGCAAAAGATTCCAAATACGATTTCGGAAGTCGTTTGCCTGACCCAAATGCAATAGCAGTCATCCATCCATTAGGTCTGGATCTTCTGGATTCAAAGTCTGGCCGTCCACTTACTACCATCTCATTAAAATGGAGTAAGTTTGAGTATTTTGTGTTTATTGGATTCCTCACAATATATAATTATTCATTTGCTCTGGTTTGTTTTACTAAACAACGTCAGTTTCAAATAAACCACTTATCGTCAGATAACTAAATCAAAGTAGAAAGTATGTGATACTATTCTTGGCAGTGTATTAATACAACGGTGTTGAATGGTACAGTACATGTTAATGTAATTTATCTGAAAAGAGGAAGATAAATTGGGAGCCTGTTGAAATAAATGTCATGTGTAGTATGCCAGAAAATTTCATTTACGTTCTTTTGCACAGTTGAACTAAAAATCAGGACTTACCAGGTTAGTTACAGGATTTTATCATGAGCTGACATCAGTTAGAGAACTATTTTCCAGGCCATGTTCAGATAGATAAGCGAGGACGGCTTGTGAGAAACTAAAGTTAAAGTTAAATAATGGATTACAGTTTAGTTATGCATCACTTAAACCAACGGTTGGTTATCATAGTAAAAAGTTGAATGTATCGGAAATCGCAAACTAAATATTGATAGTAGTAGGAATAATAATAAAACGAATTAAGATAATGCTTCTGGCAAGGATAGTTTTAAATGAATCGAGGATAATAATAAGAGCTAGAATAAAATACTACAAATAATAATAATAACAGTTGATAAGTAACACATATTACTATGGTAGACTCAAAGTGACCACCATTTCCTCTTGTACGCAGAGACTAGGTTTATAAATTTTAATTGTACAAACTTTCTCAAATGCAAGTACCTTCCTGTTTTTTGTCTGACGACAACAGTGAATGACTTGACAGAGCCCATATCATGTCCATAGTCTATAGGATGCTTTGTTATTGAACTTTTTGGTACTTTGACTTCAGCCTTTTCCAACAACTTACTAGCTTTACACTGTAGGGAAAATGGGTTTGAACAAGACGCACCAAAAGTGTACATCTCCACCGTGGAAAGGCTCATAAGATACTAAACTTCATAATAATATCATTGTCTGACAAAACACATTTGGATAAACTGTTATAGTTTCATCCATGAAGTTATGTACCACTCGACCACGTTGATCCTGTCAGAACAGCTAAATTAGGAAGAGAGAGAAGGGCATATCTTAGATTCTTTGAAAATGTACTAAAATGTTCACATCTCAAGGATACGAATGCTTAGAACAGTGGTGTTGCAAGACATCTTGTTGATACTGGCCGTGTGGAGGAAAGCATGGAATCCTTCAAGATTATTAATAGACAATACAACGCAACTGTCCTCAAATTTGCCGTAGCAATCGCTATTAAACTTCTAAAAACCGGACCTATGTATTCAGGAAGATTCACTTATTAGTCTTCCTTTGCTTCGGTGACTCAACGTCTAATCTCTTTGTTTAAATTGATTACATAATCGTTTGCTTTCACCCCCACCATACTTTTGTTTTAGTGTGATTCGGTTTATTTGGTTTCTATGACTTGAGTTAAAATCACCACACTATTACTAATCATCAACTTCTCTCCTCTTGCCTTGACTACGCAATTCAGTTTTCAATACATCCGATGAATAATTTTGCATGTTTGTATTTTGTTTGAATCTTGGCTCCACGATTCATATTATGACAACCATGTACAGACAAGACCGAAGCAGTTCAAGGAAGAAGCGAGGTGATAGTGTTGTTACTTTTTATCAATTCTCATTGGTCTGTCGCCAACGACGTATGTATTAAATCCTCAAATGATAATATTGCCTGTATAACTGTTAAATGTCGAACTAAACACCTTTCTAATAAATAATAGTAATAATTCTTCCTTCACGTTCCCAGTGGAACATAGGGCTCCAAGCTAGTGGCTTGAAGTTTCTGTAGCAGTGTTTAATTTTTACAGGATGGGGTTGCTAGCCTCATGCCCAACCTTTCCTCTTTACCAGCATTATTTCTGGCTCAGTGAGGTAAAGGAGTGCGCCGGCCGGGGATCGAACCCCGGACCATATGCATGGTCGGCGAGTGTCCTAACCGCTATACCACCGACGCACAAACACCTTTCTAAGTGCACCTTTATTTCCATCACGAACATTTATGTCACACCTTGTTGTAGTACTTCAGAACTATCTGTTTGCTGATGAATTCACTATTTTAACCGACGCCTCTTTTGGCAACTCAGTGTCCATATATACAAGAGATTTTAATTCTTGTAGCTACAGTTTTCTTACAGTGCTAGGTCATGAAAATTTCGTTAACTTTTCCATCCGACTGGATACTCCTCTTGATCTTGTATTTATAAATGACTGCGGGATTTATGAAGCTCTTAAGAGAGCTCCACTGTTTAACTCCGATCACTGTATTGTACGGGTTTTATTATTTATTATTATTATATGCTTTAATTCGTGGAGGAACATAGGGCTTCAGCTGCGCACCTCCATTGCCTTCTGTTTTCTGCCAACTTTTTCACCTCGCTTCAAGTCTGCCCACATGCTTTCATCTCCTCCTCGTATGACCTCCTCCAAGTCACCCTTGGACGACCAACTCGCCGCTTCCCTTTCGGGTTCCACTCGAGGGCTTGTCTAGTGATGTCACTTGACGGGTTTTACCCAAAATTTATGGAAAGTTACACAAGAGAACCTTTTCACACCTGTTCAAAAAATGGTACATAGATGTTACCCCAAGGAGAATGTTCAGAATCTTAGGAGAATGCTCAAAGACACAAGGTAGGACTTGTTTAATGAAGACCCCCTTAATGGCACTCTCTCTAATGTTACATATCTCAAATTTTGTCTTGACGCCTGTTGTCCCAGAGAGACACTCTTCATCAGATTTGACGGTTTCTCCTCCCCTCAACTTATAAAGCTTCTCAAGTAAAAGGAAAAGTTATATAAAATGAAGGATAACATTGGTCTAAAAACAATTAACATCCTAATCAAGTCTGAAATGCACAGGTTGAATTCAATTTATAACCAGAAGTTTATATCTTTTAAAAGTGCGTCTAATATATGGAAACTTTCCAAAGAAATTACTGGTGGTAAGCAGATGAATAGTATTCCTTATTCCTTTGATGTTCGCACACTAAACAAGTCTGGAAACCATGGGAAAGTTACTCTTACTTAGTCTTCAACCTTCACTTAAAGACTAACGATCCCAAACAATCCGCCTATAAACACAGTAGAAGTACTTTAGATGCTGTTGCAGTCTTGCATCATGACATATCTCTAATTCAGACAAAGGGGCTAATTTGTCCGCTGTACCTTCCTAGATTACACATCTGCTTTCGACTCAGTACCTAGGGATATTTTTTTAAACAAGCTTGCTGAAACTCAAACTGACTGTTGGGTTGTCAAATGGCTCCATTCTTATTTTGCAGGAAGAAAGCAATACACTGTATTTCAGGGGTAGTCGTCCACTTCATTGCTTACTGAGGCTGGTGTCCCTCAAGGCGCCGTCCCTTCTCCTTTTCTGTTTTCCTTCTTCTTGCGAGACTTGCCTCACTCTGGTGAAATGAACTTTGTTAAGTATGCGGACGTTCTAACTACTTCAGTGTGCGATAACTCCCAGCTAGGCTGTACTAAGATGAACAGCTATCAGGAGTCACCAAATTGTCTTCGTTCGATGATCTTGAACTAAATCCTTCCAAATGTCGGACTGTTAATTTTTGGTTTCCAATGTAATAGAAAGTTAAATGAAGCTGTTGGTTCCTATGACTGTTGCAAAATTGATGATAGAGATGTAGAAATCAAGTCTGAGGTTAAGCATCTTGGATTAATTATTTCTTCTGACCTATCCAGGTCTTCCCATATCTTAGCGATTTCTGAAAGAATATTTCGTCTGACTTTTTACATTGAGAAGTTAAGCCACTCAGGCATAACTCAACCCCTCCTCTTACAGTTTGTCAACCCGTGCATCTTACCCATTCTTCTTTACTGTTCACCCTTGCTTATTCTTTCCTGGATTGCTTAAAAAAGACTGTCATATTTCATATAACTCTAAAGACTGTCAGTAGGGCGAGTCTGTCTGTCTGGATTCAACATAGAACTTGGCACCGAAGTGCAGCAGTTCGAGTTGCCACGTTCCAAATAGCACACAGAGGTAGACAAGAAGATGAGTGAAGAGAATCAATAGAGTTTGACAAGTATAAGAGTGAAACAGAATGGGTAATGGTAGAAAGGAATATGAAAGATTACAGAGACTGAATACATCTGCGCCATTGACAACGATTTTGAGCCATGTCACCTATTGTCTCCAGCCATTGATTCCTAGAGTCCCGAGGGCCCCAACCCGGGAGTCTGCATCTCCCTACCTGACTCAGTTTAACTGTCAAGGATTTCATGGATTGATGCCATGTTTTTGTTTGGCCACCACTGGCTCTTTTCCAACCTGAACCTATATCAGCTAGCAATGCCCGTCGGGGGAGGCGGTGGTTAGGCATGCGCAGCACGTGACCTAGCCATCTTAGTCTATGTAACTTTATAGCCTCGTCGATTGATTTTCCCTCTTTGCCCAACACTCTACGCCTAACGTCAACATTACTTACCTTGTTAAACCACCTAACGTGAGACAGAGATCGCAGACATCTATGATCGAAAGCAGTCAACCTTTTCATGTCTTCAACGCGTATTGGCCATGTTTCAGAGCCATAGAGAAGGACGGAGCGAACTGATGAGCAGTACACACGTCCCTTGGTTGATAACCGGATGTCACGCCTACGCCAGAGATGGTGTAAGTCAGCGAAAGCAGCTCGAGCTTTTCGGATCCGTGCTGAGATTTCATCGCCAATCAGTCCGTTGGTGCTAATACAACTTCCCAAATAGGTGAAGTGGTCAACATGTTCTATCACTTCACTCCCTATCACTAAGTTAGGGGTTGACGTGGTCCAGTCCTGTAGCAGCATCTTACATTTTGCAGGGGCGAATCGCATGCCAAACATACGAAGATTGCTGCTCAAGGTGTTCAGAAGACTCTGCATTTTGTCAGCATCCTCCCCTAACAGGACTATGTCATCTGCATATTCTAAGTCCATAAGATTATTCCCTGGTAACAAGTCGATTCCTAAGTCATTACGTTCAGTTAAGGATACTTCCATTAGCATATCTATGATGAAGTTAAACAGAAATGGGGAAAGTGGACATCCCTGTCGGACACCACTGGTTGTTACCAATTCAGATGACAATTCCCCATAAGCCCTTACACGACTACGTGAGTTTGAATAGAGTGCCTTGATTAGTGCAATGTACTTTCTTGGCACTCCCTTCACAGTCAGACATTGCCATAGTACCTTTCGATCCACGGAGTCGAAGGCCGCCTTCAAGTCAAGAAATATGACAATTGTTGGACGCCGAAAAGTGTGTCTATGTTCTAGAATCTGTCGAAGAGTGAAGATATGATCTATGCACCCTCTACCTGGTCTAAAGCCTGCTTGATTTTCCCTTGTCTGTTCCTCCCGAGTTCTGCTTAGTCTATGCATGATTACTGAGCCTAGGATTTTAGAGACTATGTTCGTTAGGCTGATCCCCCTATGATTATCACACGAGGACTTGTTTCCCTTCTTGAATATCGGTATAATAAGTGACTTACCCCAGTCTGATGGCACTGTCTCTGATTCCCAGACTTTGCCTAGTACCTCAGTTAATCTACAAACTAGTATGTCACCCCCATATTTAAACACCTCCGGAATAATTCCGTCGGGTCCTGCCGCTTTGCCTCGTTTCAAATTACTGATAGCTTTTGTGACCTCACTTACAGACGGCGGACCAGTGTCTATATCCCATTCGGGTGTGGTGGATGTCGGGGAGGTTCAGTGTGGCTGTAGGCAAGTTAAATTGTCCTCAAAGTGTTCTTTCCAGCGTTCAAGGCGTCTATCCTGAGAGCTAATTAAGGAGCCATTTTTCTCAGAAATAGTCTCACTTATGATTTGCCTTCTCCCACCCGTTTCTGATGAGTCTAAAGAGTTGCCTAGTGTTGCCTATCGCCGATGCTTTTTCCATCTCTTTTGCCTTTGTCACCCACCACTGTTCACGGTCCTTGCGGAGACTTTTAGTAAGTTTCCTTTTGTGCAGCTTTCGCTCCTCATTGAATTCGGAGCTCGCCGGAATAAGTCTTCTAGCATCTATCAGTTCGGATGAGGCAGTCGAAATCCAGTGGTTTTTACTCACCTTTGGATTTGCCTTATTCACAGCTTTTACAGCTGTATCTATAGCTGACTGAATATTCTTCCAGGCTTCTCCAGGGTGAGCACAGCTGTCGAATTCAGATATGCGTTTAGCTAGTTCTTCCTCAAATAGGGATTTAGTTTCCTGATCGAGCTGGGGACGTGATGGTTTTACCGCCAGCTGTTTCCTACGTCCGTTCAGTCGTAAGCACACACGAGCCCGGACCAGTGCGTGATCGGTATCTACACACGTGTTCCAGAAGGAGCGACAATCTCCTACCGACCCACGCCAACGATAGCTTATTGCTATGTGGTCTATTTGTGTCCAGCGTTGGTTTGATGATGGGGGTCGCCAGGTTAAACAGTGTCTCTCCTTGTGTTTAAAGTTAGTGCTTACAAGAAACAAATGATTATCTGAACAGAACTGTAGGAGACGGTCACCGTTGTCGGTTCGCTGGCACGGAACTCCATAGGTGCCACCGACATCCTTCTCAGATTGACACAATTTCCCTACTTGAGCGTTAAAGTCACCAGCTAGAACGACTATATCTGAGCGTTTAGCCTTTCTCACCAAACTAGACAGCTTTTGGTAGAACTCATCCTTCGTTTCATCCGAACTGCAGTCAGTGGGGGCGTAGGCGGAGATTACGAAAAGGCATCGGCGAGTAGTGCAGTCCTTTCTCCTTCTTACTGATCCGTTCAGACGGACAGCACACATTCGGCTATCTACCGGGATCCAGTCAAGCAATGTCTTTTCTGCCCTAGTACTCAAGCTATCCCTACGCCAGCTAATCCTCGTGAACTAGCTGTGGCATCTCCTGACACCCTCAAGGTGAATTTTGAAGATTCATCCTGTTGGCCAGGTGGGGTTAGGTGAATAACCACACTTGGGTCTTGTATGCGTGTTTCTGAAACACAACATACATCAATGGCTCGGATGCCAGGGTCTTAGCTAGTGATGCTTGTTGTCCTATTTGGCAAAGTGTCCTAACATTAAATGCTCCTATATGAAATTGGTGGCGTGGCTTTAGGAGACTATCGGGGTGGTTTTTTGGCTTCCGTCGTTTTTAGTGGACACAGAGTGAAGAGGGAGTGAGGAGCCATCAAGTAGAGGAGTTGCATCAGTGGGAGGAAGGCAAGGTAATAGAGATGAAGATGAAGACAAAGATAAGTGAGGATTAGAGAGGTTTTGTGTGCATTTCGGATTGTGAGGGCGTTTGTTACTTCCCGGCTGCCCACACCGTGGAAGTTGGTTGCGTGACCGCAGAGCCCAGGGGACAACTGCTTGAGGCCGGTCACACGCGGCCTGTTTTTGTTTGTTCTCTTTTGTTTGGTGTGCCTCAGTAGCATACTTATCACTCCTGCCCTGTGACACGGCAGCAGGAAGCGCGGTCGTTGTTAATCCGGGCCACGGCCGATCCGGCATGAAATTTTGTGAATTTGTTTGAATCATGGTATTGGATGGGGTAGCTGCTTTTTGTTTAACCGCTATCCAAACAACCTGCCTGGCATGGTAGAACCTCAAGAGACATAAGTCTCAGCCAGTATAGCTTGATTAGGTCATTGCGGTGTTCAAGCCCGACCACCACGTCAAGGTAGGCCCTTTCGGTCGGGAGGGCGAGTGGTATCCCATTGGGCCATATCGTTAACATCGCCATTGATAGGCATTTGATTTCATGCAACAGTTTGCTAAAGGAATTTTGTCAAACTGTGAACACCCACTTTACTCGTAGCTTCAACCTTGTGAAACACAAGGTTTACCATTTACTCCGCCCTTATAAAATTCAGCTTAATTGTTATTGTTCCTCCTATTTTATAACCCTCGCAAACTTTTGTTTTTGTTTGTTTGTTTTCTCAAGAGTGTTGAAATCATTTAAGCTGTGTTATAACTGTTTATTTTGCCTTTCCCCTCACTATAGTTAATCAGCAGAACATTACATTCAATACTTTATTGCATGCTAAAATGTCCAAACTGAATCGACATTCCTGTTTGGAGCAAACCCACTGTTATTATCAATATATATTATTCTCATTTTGTACTTCTAATACTTTTGAAATTTATGCTATAATTCTGGACATATTCCTCCGGTTAATTTTGTCTTAATTTTTAATTTTATTTATATTCTGAGTAAATCAGATGCAATATTGTGACAAATGCTGAGAATTCCATTCTATATTACAAGTACTGTTTTGGAATAAAGTAGATTATTATTATTATACGTTATATAAGTGGAACTTCTGAACATTGTTTATTAACATATGCCTCGTTTAACAAAAATCATGTTGATCCTTGCAAATATGACAAGACTCTGTGCATATTTACATAACGAACTTTTAGGCTGTAATCAGTTGAAGAGAATCCAACTGAATAAATGATGGCTCCATATTGTTCTACACAAACAACTCTTTTGGCTTCATTTGGAATTTCGATAGATTGAACAGTCTTTGAAGCCGTATAAGTGTGGCTAAATGTTTCTGAAACCAGTAAATTACAGTCTTTATAACATTTTTGTTTCCTTTATTGGGTTCAGAGTGGACCACAGGCTTTCAGCAGCAAATCTGCATTTCTCCTTCTCTAAAGTCCTTTCAGGTATCTCCAAGACTGCCTATAAGTTTTCATACGCTTTCCTCGCTTTTGGAAATCTGACTCGTCGTTGTGCATTAGGGTTACACAGGGGTACTCATGTAATGTCACTCACCAGTCACCCCAGCTTATGACCAATCTGTCAACACTTTCGTCTTCATATTTGTTGTTTAATAAATTCTTGGCTGGTTCACTGACAGAATTCTTTGTTGCTTATTCTTTCTGACCGTGAGATCTTCAGTATCGAGTGAAGGCATCTGTTGAAAAAAGCCTCCAGCCTGTTGGAAAGGCTTTTGGTGGCGCGCGCGTCAGTCATCTGAACCACATAAAAGCACTGATTTGTTGAAAATCCCAATGGTGTTTATCATTATGCAGTGAGGTTTCCGACAGAAATCGAAATAAGGTGTGATTTTCTGCACATACGTTGTATTAGTAGACATAGTTTAACTAGACGTTCTTTCTATGCATATTTGTTTTCATCTTTAGGAGTCGGATCAGTATACGCAATCCTGTCCACTGCAGCATCAAACAACTTTATTCGTTGGAAGCTAGGATTGCCCACAATCTACGAAATACGAGTTTCTTCACAAATTACCGAGTATCCATCAAGTGGTTTACGAGTGAAAATGCATCATGCTTCTGATGAAACTAGAGCATCTCTTGAAAGTGATTTTTCACATACCGTTGACTGTCAAGGACTTTTCATTCGTTATGAGTATTCATCTAATAATTGGGAGTTAGAGAAATCTGTGTATTCAAATTCAGTGTTCGAGGTTCATTCATCCACATTCCATGGTTTATGTCGACCATTCAAACTCTGGGAGTATGCCAGACTGGGCAGATCAGACTGGCAAGAGGACGAAAGAAAATCACTTCCACCAATTGTTGTTAAGAGGTAGCTTCTTTGTTGATACCATCTTTTCAAATTGTTATTTCCTATCACTTATGATTCATTGATGAATCATTTACAGATTCATATATTTGATTTATTTGAAAAGAGATTGAAAGCCTTAGCTCATTGGATGAATACTGTACCTTAGTTCAAACCTTCTCAGCAGTTTTGATGACTTAATTTCCATTTAATAATGATTTTAAAATTATAAAAATCTGTATGCTAGAAAATTACCTGTTCACTACTTACGCTGTACCACCTTGATGAGACACAAATTTGGTGACAACAAATCGCATGTATTATTGTTGAGTTCTTACTCAAAACTGATATGTAGACAGATTAACAATGGATTACAGTTTTATGGATATCTCTCACACGTATATCATCAGCCTATACATGCATATATCACTGTTTCTTTTAGTAAATATACTGTTGTTGATACAGAATTATAATTTTCGTCTCACGTTTTTATGTGTTCTCGCTTATGTAGTGCAGGCTGTAGAAGCGGGTAGCTGTGATGTACGTTGATGGGCAGTGAGAAGCGTAGCAACATTATGTGATCAGCACGTCCGTGTTCAGCTTCGGTGTCCCTATTCCCACTTTTCAAACTCAAGTCAATTTTATTTGCAAAATATAAGACGGCGTAAGATGCAGAATTATGTACGAAAACTGAAATGTTCATTGCTCTATGTGTTTTTATTGTACAGTAGTTCATCTGGAAGTAATAGCACAGATTGTACACAAGCAACTTTCAGTATTTGGTGTTCATAATTCATGGTCGGGTAGTACGCACTTTAGCTAAACTGCTAGTCCACTCAATTATAGTATGTATTTATTTTTCAGTACCCTAACCATTGACGGGTTAAACTGACAACCGACGAAAGAATTCATGATAATTGACAGTATGTACTTAATATGCGACTGGAATACTTTCATTCCGTATATTGTGCAACGGAGCACGAAAACGTAACTACCCGGTAGTTTGTGAGTTCACATGTGCTGGCATTGTAGTAAATGTTTTTTTTTCTATGTTTAGATTTCCTGTTCTTTATGGATTAGGTAAATCGATTTCTCCTACATACCAGTAAGTGGAGCAGCGGATTATTTCTCTAAGGATTTTCTGTTACTGGAGGTGCTTTAACTAGTTAGCCACTGATCTTTGAGCCTAGTGATTGCGTCATTTTTACTCATTAGCGGCCAAATTTAGTCATATTAAAGGGAAAGGGTGTAATTCTACATTTTGAAATATGTATAATTCTCTGTTATCATCGTTACAATTAATACACGCCACATTTCTTGTCGATTTGTTATGTCCTATGTACAGGCATAGTGAAATATCAAGTTTGGCTGGATTGTGGCACTCACTGTTGAATAACAAAGGTGGTGAATTCGATTTGCATATACGAAATCAACGTTTATCTTATTTGAAAGAACACGAATATCATGACATTTTCTTTTTAACTTCGGATGGAACTATTACTTCTGTATCAAACCATGGTCATGAAAACTGGCGAGTAAGACAGTCTTTATTCAATCTTTTGAGTGAATTTTTAGAAGTGGAATATTTGAAATGTTGTAGTAACTTTAAGTCAAATTTATATATATTAATACTGAGATGTCATAAAGAATAATCACGATGATGACACAGTAATGATTGCTGTTATACAGTGGGCCACCCCTGTTTTTAAAGTGTTAAGTATTCTGTTGCCACGGGAAATAACGATATCCAACTAAAAACTAACATTATGGCGGATTTTATCACAGACTGACATCATTTGTAGCCCCATGGGACAGTCGTTTAGTCCTAATTCGAGACTCTTCAGTGTACCCATGATCCCAGCACATTTCGAGTTTGGAATTCAGTGATCCTTGAATTCTAACTTCTATCAGTTCGCCTCCGCCAACCAACACCTTCGATGAACATCCTCTTCGCCCTGATATGATGGACTACACTCAACCGATAACTGGTTACCTTGAAGTGGTGGTCGAACATGCATATTGTATTGATTCGTCTAGTTACAGTGACTGGAACAAATGTTCCTGCAGGTCCTACTATTCCAGAAAGGCCATCTGGATAGCGGTTAGACTACAAACAGCTATCATCATAGTATAAGTCGCTCAAACTATGTTGGCGGTCTCAACGCAAAGTCGTACTGATGGTGAATAGGGACTTCACATCAGTAAAGTATCCTTCTCAGAAGATCAGCAACCCAGGTGTGGTGCCTCTCGCTTCGACCCTGGAAATTGTACTCCTGATTCACCTTGCGGCGGTACGTAGCCAGCAGTAAGATCTTCACATGTTCTTCGGTGACTGAATAACTTTCAACATGGCACAGAAGTGCAACAGTTCAAATTACCACACTTCATGTACCATACAAGGATAGACGAAAGAAAGAAAAAGGTGATTCAAAAGAACTACAGTAAGCAGATATGTGCGGCAGAAAGATAGCAACGTGGAAAAACATGAGCTGTCAATGGATATGAAAAGGTTAGCTGTCTTTGACAACAGTTGTTAACGTCATATTTCTTATATTAAATTGTATTGTATGGTAATTAATACTATTGAGATTAGATGTAGAGTATGAAGTTAGGAGGAGAAATCAGTAGATGAAGTTATGAAACTACATGGATTAAGATGGCTAGGACACATGCTACGTATATCGAACCATCGCCTTCCTCAACTGGGCAATGTTAGGTGACATATGGTTAGATTGCAAAAGAGTTAGGGGTGGCATCAATCCATGAAGTGTTTGACTATTGGTTTGAGAAACTCAGGGAGGTGTAAACTGGGTTGCCGGAGTCTGGAGATACTAAGAAGCAATGTCTAGCGACTATTGGCGACATTTTTCTAAGCGTTCCCGATGGCCTAAAGGTATTCACTCTTTGTGATTTCTATGAATCATTATTATCCATGTCATTACTGTTTCTCCCTTATATTTGCATTCACTACAGTTTTTTTGGATTTCTACTTTTTCGCTACATATGTCTGGTGTAAGGAGTGTGGCAGTATGAAGTGCTGCACTTTTGTACAAAGATCTACGTTTGAAACTCAAGTGGACTGACTACACAATCTATGTCTGCTCATTTGAAATTCAGGACGTCCATACCGTAGCTTCTGCTGGACTGGAATTCTATATTCCGGTTTCAGTCATTAACGTATCACCTGTTATTTTTTATTCATTTTTTCATTTAGCAGGGATTTTGATTGATGTGTGTGCGTGCTGTTGATAATTTTCGGTTTTTGAAGGAATAGCTTTCCAATGTTTTTTGACTTTCAAGAATTCAACAAGTGATTAGTTTGTAACTAAATCCACAACGAAACCCAAAATGTGAACAGAACTTGACAAACGATAGGTTAAAGGCTGAAATTGGTCATTTCTTTGGAATTAAAGTTATACATTTACGTTGTTATTTGGTTTGAACCATGTGTGACATTGTCGTAAAAAGGAGATGATTTAACCAAGAAGTCCGTTAATATATTTTCAGTATTTCTTAGTGGGTAAAATATTCCGTTCAAGAGTAAATAAAATGAATTCATCTTATCCTGCAAAAATGTTTCAACTTTGTCAATGGGAGTAATTTTAAGAGGCAAATTAGTCATACGAAGAGTTGAATTTTTGTTGCTAGTGTACATTATTATCATTTGTTCTTGTGATATGCATGTAATTGACCAACCAGTGAGGTTGGCAAATATTTTGTAAACGCCCGTATCAGCAACATACGCCTTTTGTTTTCGGCCTGATTTTAAAATAACCCCTGCATATTTCGATTTCTGAAAAAAGGTTAGTTTCGCGTAAAACGTTGTGGAAATTCTTATTTTGATTTCTTATACGTGGTGGGTTTGTTTCAAGTAAAATTTTATTAATTCAATCAGATTCGTTGGAGAAATTGTTCCAGGATATTCGTAACGTCTGTGGTTTAGACCTTTATGAATAAGTTATGGATTAGTTGATTAATTCAGTATGCAGTGCAATCGTATGGAGTGTGATAGATAGTTTATTAGTACTAGGAGATTAATGAACTTGAGAACATGAAGTAAATTAATTAATTCCCACACATCGATCAAATATTGAAGTTTCTTGCTGCTCAAATCCATGTTTTCAAGAAATTTATTATGTTACACTAAGATTATCGCCATTATTACTGACTTCCATTAATTTATATTGGCATGTGTGTGCATATGTATACACTTTGAGGCTTGTGAAGCTCAGGAATTATATCTATCTCTATACAGTTGTCAATAAATTACATTCCATGGGGTTAATGTTACCATTTATGTGTCACATGTGCCACATAACCTTGGCGGATGGAAGCGTATTTACATATTCACCAGACAGAATGTTAAGAACAATGAAATCCAGGCTTTAGCGATCATATTTTATATAGATTTGTGAAAACTAAGTTCCAGCTGAATAAAAGAGTTACTTTTTTGGTCTTAAAATGTTTTTGCTTTGAATGACAACGAATCAGGTGTTTAGATACATGGCAAGTACTTTTATTATGTTTATTGTATCGGTGTGATTTATTTAGTATATTGACCGAGTCAGCGAGTATGTGTTGAGCAGAGCAACAGAATATCATTGCTGATCTGATTGGGGACTTGGAGAACATTATTAATGCATTTCAGTTAATGTTTGAGAAAAATGCCCATCTGTGTACATTCAGAAGTTGCGTAATACACAGATGAGGGTTTTTTGTAAGATAATCTGTTGTATTTGTCTCATAAATGATACATAGCTCCAATACCTTGGGTTTCGTTTTTCGTTTATTTTTGTGTTTAGCGAAAACATTCATTCAGACATGTATAAAACACAAAATAATTGAGCAAAGAATATCCTTTCCGATAATTTTCTCTTCTGACTCTACAATTATATATATGCTTATATGCATAGAATATTCTAGATTAGTTGTCAATATCAGTATTGGTGTTTTTAAAATATTCTATGCATATAAGCATATATATAATTGTAGAGCCAGAAGAGGAGATTATCGAAAAGGATATTCTTTGCTCAATTATTTTATTTTTGTGTAGTTTATCATTCTAACTATTTCTAATATCAGAGTTACACAGTAAATCTTGATGTACTTGGAGCAATTTACTCCAGAATCTTACATTTATTTCTCTACTTTTGTTACTTTTTCTTTTTATGAGAATGAATTTGCATTTTCTTCATGTGATAACGTTTATATGATATTTATTTCTAGGTAAGTTCTGACGTCTCCTGGTTACAAGTCTCACGCACATTGGGAAATTTCGAATCCCTGGCGGTGAAAGATCTATTGACCGAAATTTGAGTGACCTGTATATAAAGCATTTTCACCCTGCATTGATTGCCGTTGATCTAACACCGCTAGGCACGGTATATATGCGTGACTTGAATATGTTTCCCCAAAGTAAGGTAAGTTGTTTTTTTTTTTTACTAGGAACGTCTAGTAACGTTTGATTTACATTTTTTTCGGATAAAATTCGTTGACCTAAAACGTAATTTTTAATCGAATAACTATTTCTATTGTTCTAGCTGTAGATGATGTGTTCATCTGTGCTAGTACTACTACCACCAAGTAACAATCATCATCTGTACCACTCTATGGAAAAGTAGTTTCTGAGGTTAGGAAAAGGTGGTCTTATTACCATAACGTATCTCCATTAATCAAAGTTGTCTAAACTGCATCGGAATGTGAAAAAATATAATCAACACTTTATTAGTCTTAATATAAAAGTGAATATAAATGGATTAGGAAAATGTTTCCTCATTTAGTCGAAAGTTAATTATATGAAGGAAAATGAAGTGTAAATCGGTCTTTGTTTTAAGCAACCCCAACTTTTTCAAATGATTCAAAAAATGGGCTGTAACTCTATGCGAGACCATTTCTGGATAACCGTACATTTTGTTAAACCGTAGATCTTTGGTTATGTTGCACCGAATAAATATTTCCCCTCAGAATGTGCCAGAATTCTCAGGAGTAAAGATTCAAGTAGTTTATCAGATTAATATTTCGAAATAAATCCATGATTTTTTCCTTGACCTATATACTGAGCAAGCATTTTATGCCTAAACGTTGCAAGTTTCATTTAAATGGGTGTTTCAAGCTACCAGAAACCTACTGCGTTTTCACGGCCAAAGTTCTCCAGCATATTAATGGTGACATATGTGATAACAGTGTAGTTACATTTACTGTTTTTCTTTCGCTTATTTGATACGCTTATTTGGTATTATTATTATTCCCTTGGGTTCCTAGTAGAACATAAGGCTTCTACTGCACGTCTCCACTTGCTTCTGTCTTCTGCTGTGCTTTTCACCTGCATCCATGTTATTCCATACTATTTCGACCCCTCTTCACATGATCTCCTCCGTGTCACCCTTACACTGACGTACCACTCGCCTCTTCCCTTTTGGGTTGCACTCGAGCAATGACCTGACGCGCGATGTCACCTAACGGCCTCCTCAGCAGGTGTCCACTCCATCTCAATGCACTTCCTCCTGCATATTTGTTGGGTGATTGGTTCTTGTTTTGCTTGTTCCCATAGTTTCTTGTTGGCGATTCTTTCCGGCCCGGCCATCTGATCTTCAGTATAGAGCAAAGAGAAGATTACTTAACGCCCGACCGAAAGCTGCTACCTTGACGTGGTGGTCGGGCTTGAACACCGCAATGACCTAATCAAGCTATACTGGCTGAGACTTATGTCTCTTGAGGTTCTACCATGCCAGGCAGGTTGTTTGGATAGCGGTTAAACAAAAAGCAGCTACCCATCCAATACCATGATTCAAACAAATTCACAAAATTTCATGCCGGATCGGCCGTGGCCCGGATTAACAACGACCGCGCTTCCTGCTGCCGTGTCACAGGGCGGGAGTGATAAGTATGCTACTGAGGCACACCAAACAAAAGAGAACAAACAAAAACAGGCCGCGTGTGACCGGCCTCAAGCAGTTGTCCCCTGGGCTCTGCGGTCACGCAACCAACTTCCACGGTGTGGGCAGCCGGGAAGTAACAAACGCCCTCACAATCCGAAATGCACACAAAACCTCTCTAATCCTCACTTATCTTTGTCTTCATCTTCATCTCTATTACCTTGCCTTCCTCCCACTGATGCAACTCCTCTACTTGATGGCTCCTCACTCCCTCTTCACTCTGTGTCCACTAAAAACGACGAAAGCCAAAAAACCACCACGGATAGTCTCCTAAAGCCACGCCACCAATTTCATATAGGAGCATTTAATGTTAGGACACTTTGCCAAATAGGACAACAAGCATCACTAGCTAAGACCCTGGCATTCGAGCCATTGATGTATGTTGTGTTTCAGAAACACGCATACAAGACCCAAGTGTGGTTATTCACCTAACCCCACCTGGCCAACAGGATGAATCTTCAAAATTCACCTTGAGGGTGTCAGGAGATGCCACAGCTAGTTCACGAGGATTAGCTGGCGTAGGGATAGCTTGAGTACTAGGGCAGAAAAGACATTGCTTGACTGGATCCCGGTAGATAGCCGAATGTGTGCTGTCCGTCTGAACGGATCAGTAAGAAGGAGAAAGGACTGCACTACTCGCCGATGCCTTTTCGTAATCTCCGCCTACGCCCCCACTGACTGCAGTTCGGATGAAACGAAGGATGAGTTCTACCAAAAGCTGTCTAGTTTGGTGAGAAAGGCTAAACGCTCAGATATAGTCGTTCTAGCTGGTGACTTTAACGCTCAAGTAGGGAAATTGTGTCAATCTGAGAAGGATGTCGGTGGCACCTATGGAGTTCCGTGCCAGCGAACCGACAACGGTGACCGTCTCCTACAGTTCTGTTCAGATAATCATTTGTTTCTTGTAAGCACTAACTTTAAACACAAGGAGAGACACTGTTTAACCTGGCGACCCCCATCATCAAACCAACGCTGGACACAAATAGACCACATAGCAATAAGCTATCGTTGGCGTGGGTCGGTAGGAGATTGTCGCTCCTTCTGGAACACGTGTGTAGATACCGATCACGCACTGGTCCGGGCTCGTGTGTGCTTACGACTGAACGGACGTAGGAAACAGCTGGCGGTAAAACCATCACGTCCCCAGCTCGATCAGGAAACTAAATCCCTATTTGAGGAAGAACTAGCTAAACGCATATCTGAATTCGACAGCTGTGCTCACCCTGGAGAAGCCTGGAAGAATATTCAGTCAGCTATAGATACAGCTGTAAAAGCTGTGAATAAGGCAAATCCAAAGGTGAGTAAAAACCACTGGATTTCGACTGCCTCATCCGAACTGATAGATGCTAGAAGACTTATTCCGGCGAGCTCCGAATTCAATGAGGAGCGAAAGCTGCACAAAAGGAAACTTACTAAAAGTCTCCGCAAGGACCGTGAACAGTGGTGGGTGACAAAGGCAAAAGAGATGGAAAAAGCATCGGCGATAGGCAACACTAGGCAACTCTTTAGACTCATCAGAAACGGGTGGGAGAAGGCAAATCATAAGTGAGACTATTTCTGAGAAAAATGGCTCCTTAATTAGCTCTCAGGATAGACGCCTTGAACGCTGGAAAGAACACTTTGAGGAACAATTTAACTTGCCTACAGCCACACTGAACCTCCCCGCCATCCACACACACCCGAATGGGATATAGACACTGGTCCGCCGTCTGTAGTGAGGTTACAAAAGCTATCAGTAATTTGAAACGAGGCAAAGCGGCAGGACCCGACGGAATTATTCCGGAGGTGTTTAAATATGGGGGTGACATACTAGTTTGTAGATTAACTGAGGTACTAGGCAAAGTCTGGGAATCAGAGACAGTACCATCAGACTGGGGTAAGTCACTTATTATACCGATATTCAAGAAGGGAAACAAGTCCTCGTGTGATAATCATAGGGGGATCAGCCTAACGAACATAGTCTCTAAAATCCTAGGCTCAGTAATCATGCATAGACTAAGCAGAACTCGGGAGGAACAGACAAGGGAAAATCAAGCAGGCTTTAGACCAGGTAGAGGGTGCATAGATCATATCTTCACTCTTCGACAGATTCTAGAACATAGACACACTTTTCGGCGTCCAACAATTGTCATATTTCTTGACTTGAAGGCGGCCTTCGACTCCGTGGATCGAAAGGTACTATGGCAATGTCTGACTGTGAAGGGAGTGCCAAGAAAGTACATTGCACTAATCAAGGCACTCTATTCAAACTCACGTAGTCGTGTAAGGGCTTATGGGGAATTGTCATCTGAATTGGTAACAACCAGTGGTGTCCGACAGGGATGTCCACTTTCCCCATTTCTGTTTAACTTCATCATAGATATGCTGATGGAAGTATCCTTAACTGAACGTAATGACTTAGGAATCGACTTGTTACCAGGGAATAATCTTATGGACTTAGAATATGCAGATGACATAGTCCTGTTAGGGGAGGATGCTGACAAAATGCAGAGTCTTCTGAACACCTTGAGCAGCAATCTTCGTATGTTTGGCATGCGATTCGCCCCTACAAAATGTAAGATGCTGCTACAGGACTGGACCACGTCAACCCCTAACTTAGTGATAGGGAGTGAAGTGATAGAACATGTTGACCACTTCACCTATTTGGGAAGTTGTATTAGCACCAACGGACTGATTGGCGATGAAATCTCAGCACGGATCCGAAAAGCTCGAGCTGCTTTCGCTGACTTACACCATCTCTGGCGTAGGCGTGACATCCGGTTATCAACCAAGGGACGTGTGTACTGCTCATCAGTTCGCTCCGTCCTTCTCTATGGCTCTGAAACATGGCCAATACGCGTTGAAGACATGAAAAGGTTGACTGCTTTCGATCATAGATGTCTGCGATCTCTGTCTCACGTTAGGTGGTTTAATAAGGTAAGTAATGTTGACGTTAGGCGTAGAGTGTTGGGCAAAGAGGGAAAATCAATCGACGAGGCTATAAAGTTACATAGACTAAGATGGCTAGGTCACGTGCTGCGCATGCCTAACCACCGCCTCCCCCGACGGGCATTGCTAGCTGATATAGGTTCAGGTTGGAAAAGAGCCAGTGGTGGCCAAACAAAAACATGGCATCAATCCATGAAATCCTTGACAGTTAAACTGAGTCAGGTAGGGAGATGCAGACTTCCGGGTTGGGGCCCTCGGGACTCTAGGAATCAATGGCTGGAGACAATAGGTGACATGGCTCAAAATCGTTGTCAATGGCGCAGATGTATTCAGTCTCTGTAATCTTTCATATTCCTTTCTACCATTACCCATTCTGTTTCACTCTTATACTTGTCAAACTCTATTGATTCTCTTCACTCATCTTCTTGTCTACCTCTGTGTGCTATTTGGAACGTGGCAACTCGAACTGCTGCACTTCGGTGCCAAGTTCTATGTTGAATCCAGACAGACAGATAGAGCAAAGGCAGTTGTTGATAAAGATCTTCAACATGCTGTTGGAAATATTCTTTGTGACCTGCCCGTCAAGTTTCTGACCCGTATAGAAGCACTGACTTGACGTTTGTATTGAAGATCCGAATTTTGTTGTTGATGCTGAGTGACGAAGATTTCCAGATTGGTTTCAGGTTGGTCAATATGTTTCTCGCCTTCCCGATTCTCGATTTGACATCCTCGTCCGTTCCGACTTCCTGTAGTTGAGACAATTCTCCCTAGATAAGTGAGCATTTGGTATAGCACACAGTAATTCAATGTTATCAACTGACTGACGTTTCTAACACAGTTTATTGCTTATAATCATAATCAAAACATGCTGATATGATTATGAACAATTAGAGAGACTAGAATTTCTATCCAGCCATTGAAAATACATCACTGAGTGCCAAATCTGACAAATTTATGTAACCCAGGGTTGCATTCAATTTCTAACTGCTAAGCTGCAGACTCGAATTCTGCCATGATCACAGAATAATATATATATATATATATATATATATATATATTCGACTACCGAACTGCATTATCCTACTACTGTTGAATCGATATTTATAGCCTGTCGTATCAGCAATGCCCCTAATCGTATCTGTCGGATGGGATTCTGTCAGTATTGTTGATCGGTCGAATGGAAAGTTTTTGGCTACACACAGGCTTCCAACTCAACCAACTGGTCAACCTATAGCTGTTCCACTTGTGCTGTACAATACAACAAAACCGGTGGAGGTAGTATATGCCCCGAGTCTACTGTTGGTTCCGTGCAATGATTTGTAAGTTCCTTTATTATCAAGTGTTTGTTTATACTGGCTGTCTACAGCACGCTGATACAATTGACTTTACTTACTTTGACAACGCCATTTCTTTTAAATTATATTGTTTTAATAGCAATCTTATGATTCATAATAATATTGTTTCGTTATGGACAGATTTGTTAGTCTCCGTACACTTATTGACATTTCGGAATTTAATTGTTTCTCCAGCAATTTAGGTGTTTATCATTCTTTCCATTAATGTCAGTGACACTCAATATGAGCCACTTTTTAAAAAAAAAATGCTGTCATTGACCTATCAAAGCGTAGAGTACGTGCGGTCAGATAATGAATGAAAGTTTTATAAATCATGTTTAGTATGCATACAGACGTCCCAGGTGTTCATTAAATGATTGAAACTAATGCTCAATCAACAATTGTCTTCAAGAAATCATTATACAGGATCATCTGTTGATATAATTTAAACCACTGAACAAAGTTCAGTCATTAGCTTAGAGTTTACGTGGGGTATTTTCTTTCATTAATGAATTTCGATAACCTATTGTTTTCAATAAGATATGAATATACATTTTTTCATGGGTCTGATTTTCAATATTTTATTTAATCCAATAGTAGTAATATTATTCTGTCATCATTTTCATAATTCATTCCACCTCCATTTCTCCTAATTTCAGAATCGTTGGTTTCGTTGTAGTTCAGAGTTTGCGTGTATGGATTCTGTTACCGTTGATAGTTAGTTTGGCTATATCATTTTCCGTGTTAACCTTGTGTTGTGATTTAGATGCCCGAAATACGGGGAGTACATAGCTGTTTCCCGAAGAGGCTGTATATTCACACACACACACGTTGCTTTGTATTTTCTTATTTTCATGTTATCTTTAAACTGTTACATTGTTATCACTGGTTTGATTTCTTGTATATATTGAGAAAAGTGTTTTTAAGCTGTCCGAAACTTTGTCAATGTTGTTGTTTGTTGAACTGGATGTCATACAGTAGTGATCTATTTTAGCCTTACCAAATAATTCTCAATTATTACTTATTTTTGTTTGCATATTCCATGTAAATATTTCTTGCTAAATAAATTTAACGAAAGTAAAAGCGTTAATGTCATCCCTTTAACAATGTGTTTTCGCGCTTGAGAAATAAGCTGATGAAATCATACTTTCCCAGCTATTCTTAGTCTGTATCACGTGATTGCTTGGATGATAATTGCATATGGTATATCGTCTCAACATTTTAATTTGAGTGTAACTTTCTAGGCATTTGTTTTTTTCTTGGCCATAGCTCCAGGCATCACCCACACAATAAATCAGGAGACAGTTATTTGTTATTCTTTCATAGCTTCTTTTCAACCTGTTAATACATGTGAATAACAAGCTGCAGTGCCCACCAAATTACAAATGCTCAATGTAAATGTATGCCTCGTATTACAGCAAAGTCACTATAACCTATGAACTGTAATAAATGAAACACTATGTAAATAACAGAAAGGTTTCTTAAAATAGCAAATAATTAATACTCTGTCTTGGGAATAAAAAAAATAATGGACCAAATGATGTCTGAGTGCTCTGCTTTCAAGTCTCTGTCCAACAAATACTTAGTTACACACGAGAGGGTTAAGCGGATTTAGTTTTGAGGCTGATTGAATGACAAAATAACGTAAAGCTTTGTTCTATTGCTGTTGTGATACCTCGGAAAAGAACACAGGGAATGTAATAAAATTACAGGGAAGGATGTATTTTCAAAGAGTATAGAACTACTCATCTCAATCAGTTTGTGAAAATATGCTTGCTTCCTTGATTATCGCTTATGGTGTCAAGTGAACCCCGTCCTGTGATCTGTGAATAACTTGGCTTTCAAAGGAAACTGTGGTGAAAATTTCACCCCTCAAATTATGTGCACTGTGAATTCCTAACTAATTTGCGAATTATGAAGAGAGTGATTAAATGAATAAGTTTTTCATGGTCTGAAAAGACACAGAATATGAACAAATCTGCGCCATTGTGAGCAGTTCACATCAACAGTAAACGATTTCATGCGTCGCTGTTATGTTTCTATCTGACCACCTCTATCTCTTTGTTAAGCTATTCCTCTTAACATTGCTTATTCGGAAGGCGGTGGTATACGTGTCATATCCTCTCTGAACAGTGGAGTTCACAACGTTACCTAACCTCATTATTATTTAATATGTTGTTGCACTTCACAAACACCTATTTATATCTACGTTCAGCAGCCATAACTAGTAGAATCAATGATCTGGGAGTTGGCTACAAGGGTTGTATGGGAAAATGCTCAATATTCTGTGGTTAAAAACATCTAGAAAATAAGTTAGTAATCTTAATGGCGTCATGTATCTTCGGTATATTTTTATAGGAACCCCTAATCTGAAACAGCCTATGTACACAGTGTTTCTGCTCTCTAACACTTGATGAGACGGCTTGTTATACTGCCCGTTTTCTCCACTGTCATCTATAGTATAAAGGAGATGACATAATTTGATCTGAAGATTTTGAGTTTATCGAGGAAGTTGTAGTAAATTTTCAGCTCGCGGACTGTGTAATTTGCAAATGATGGATTTATCACTTCAGTCGGCATAGATATTTTCGTTATTTCGTAACAACCGGATCCGTTTATTAGTTTGAATAAAGAAATAACGGACATATTTATAGGATAGTACAACTTCGTTTCATTTCGTGGTTTCTCTTCAGCTCCGTACATCCTAAACAAAACCAATTATAAATTTCAAAATCTCTGAAAATACTGTTTACAGTGACTTCGGGCTATAGATAAAAAGTATAGGTAGCATAATACAAAAAGTAGTGTAAGTGGACGAATTAATGTTAAAAGAGTAGTTATTTATATGATAATTAGACAAGTGGAGTGGAGTTCAGATTTCGCTTAGAAAGAAGGATGAAATACTGACAAAATACAAGATAAAACTTCGGAATTCAGGAGGGTGGGGGTAAAAAGTAGGGTGAAATAATAAGATAGACAAAATAATTTAGATTTGGAAACTTGATAGTAAGTGCAAATCAAAATTAAGTTGAATGTTTTGCAACAGAACAAAAACACACGAACAAAATAATTACGGTTACCAGGATAGTGAGAGACGAGTCACACTATCCTGTTGTTTGGTTGAAGTCTTGTGATAGCAATAGCTTCTGCGAACCGAGGCAACCATGGTTTTCATTTTGTATTGATTATTTCGAAGATCTGATCAGTTTTCACTGAATGTCCAGTAACAAGTGTCTAGCAATTGCACTTGAGAACACTTTGCTGCCCTTCAAACGGAGACTTTCCCGTGTATTCGTGAGAAATCCAGTAGACACTAGCCTCTCAGTTATTTCTACGTACTGACTGTCTCAAGTTCAGGTGAATTGGGGAATACAGTAGGAGTTGACATTGTGTAATGTGCTACTGATAAGATTTATCACTACTATATTAAGAGACTTTCATTAGCATAAAAACATCTAGTAGCGTGGGTATAGGTTTGACAATGAAGACCGTAAATGCACCAGTATATTTCGGGAAAACATGAGTGACATAAAAAGATGACGAAACATAATAAGGGCAGAATTAGCAGAAAACGGAGTTCTGTGCAGATGTCGGCGGTTTAAAGGTAAAGAGTACATAATTTCCCTATATGCAGATGCCAAATTACAAATAAACATAACTTCAGCAAGTCTTTCGACTTCTACCACTAAAATATGAGCAGGATACTTATCTACTTTTCAAATTTATGTATTTAAAACTATCCAATATATCTTTTCAGTTGCTATACCCATCCACACTTCTGAAATGAACATAAAATTTGTCGACTAGGCTACAATCCAAGTGAAGGCTGTGAAGTAAAGACAGGAGTAAGACAAGGTTGACTATCATCACCAATGATCTTGCTGATTTTGTTACACAGGGTCATGCGTCAGACTGTAATGAAGTTAGAAGATGAGCATACATTGGACTGACATAATGACTATAAGATGTGGACTTCTCGGATGATCTATGCCTAACGTCACATAAACTTGAAGACTAACAGGCGAAAACCAACAAGTTGGCAGAAGAGGTTGTCAACGAAGACAGAACTTTAGGTGAACGTAGAGAAGACGGAAATCATGGAGATAACTAACCAACAACAACAACAAGTATCAATCACTATGACGGGAGAAATTTGAAAGAGGTCATTTATTTCACTTATCTAGCGGGATAGTTTCAGCCACAGACGGAACAGATGAGGATGTCAAAACCACGATCGGAAAAGCAAGGTAGACCTTCATCACTCTGAAATCAGTTTGGAAATCTTCTGCACTCAGCATAAAAAAATAAAACTCAGATTTTCAACATTGATGTCAATTCAGTGCTTCTATATGGGTCAGAGATTTGGCGTGTCACGAAAAGAATTTCCAACTGACTGAAGACTTTTACCAACCGCTGTCTTCTCTCAATGATACTGAAGATCAGATAGACAGCAAAAATTAACTTCAAGGAACTCTGGGAATGAGCCAAACAAATACGCTAAAGGAAATGGAAATTAATCGGACACACGTTGTGGAGATCGTTTAACAGAATCGCTCATCAGGCCCTCGAGTGGAACGCGAATGAGAAATGATGAGTTGGACATGAGATAGATCGTGTAAAAAGGAGATGGAAGTTCATAGGCAATCGTGGCATCAGGCAAAGAGGACTACAGAGAACAGGATGAGGTTGAGATGTGTTGTTGAAGCTCTATGTTCCACTCGGAACCCAAGGGAATAGTTAATAATGATCACTTACATGTGTTAATGAGTGTAGGAATAATCTGTAGGTTATAACGTCCTATCAAATGTATTATTGTCCAAGTGTACTGTGTGGGTCACTTTTAAATTTAAATCAAAAATTCTAATTTAAATGTATATGTGCAGAATACAGGATATGTGTTCAAGTGACACCATGTTCATGCAAAACATACCACTTGAAAAGACACAGATAGAGTGGTGGGAACGGGGTGGGCATGGAAGCAAATTCAAATAATAGTTTTCACAAGTGAAGTTGAAAAAAGTGAAGGCCAATGGAAAAACAAAATCTAAGGTGTCAAGCCGAACCAGATCGATGGTGAATGTGGAGGTTGGATCAGTTTCTTTTAAACACACCACCCTGGCTTTTCACTACATATGGTGAAGTCTTCTGCAACACACAAAAGTCGGAAACACTCTGGTTTTGTCTACTTTGCAAATGACTCATCATTTAGAGTCATCTCTATCAATAAAGGTGATATGTGTGATTTATTCTAATAGGCTTTATCAAGTGAAGAAAAACCAGAATTGTTCAGCCATAACTCAACAAATATTAGCAGATTACAATCAAATGGTTCGTCACACCTTGCCAATCATTCTGACAGTGGATCTGATGCATATTTGTACTCAGATCCTGAACTATGCTTTACAACCACATCAACATCATGTCCGTCACAATCTAGTACATCAGTGGTACAAAGAAGAGCGGAGTTATCACCTTTGTCACCTGCTTCATCAATGGCATACAAAGATTCCAACAAGTCGAAATATCTCCTGGATCGCCTGCATGATAGAATCATGGTAACAACGACAATCGTTGATAACTATGAATATTCTGGTCTACAAACATCTTCAATGTCACCATTGTCGTTTTCTGCAAAAGAATACATGAGATGTGCAAAAAATGACTCTAGTAATTCAAATATTCCAGCAGCAAGAAATCCCTAGTTCGGAAATAAGAAGTGAGTGAGTGTTTCGTTCAAAATAAGTTTTGTAAATGAATAATGAATTATTAAAGTCACTTCATATCACTGAATCTCACATTGAAAAGCACACGATAAATGAAATTCTAAGGTCCTAGTTATTCAGTCTCACCTTTTTTGATAAAATAATTTGTTATTTTGAATATCTATTATAAAATAACCTCTTTAGATAGATTCACAGTGTTCATTATAATAGAGGTTTTTGTATTTCCCAATGAATGAAAAACAAAACGATATTGTTTTTACTGACGTTTCGCTATTTAATGCTAATAGCTTTCTCAAAGAATTCACACTGTTTTTATTCGAAGTCGTATTTCACTTTATCTATTTATATATACTTCCTAACCATTCACGAAGTCATTCGGCGATTAGTCACTATAGTCCCTAAAACAATTTTTGATCACTAAGATAAAAACGTTGACCAAGTTATCTGCCTTTTCAATTGACTATTTTCATATGTTGTTCATGACTATAGCCAATCGAATACGCTGAATAGATGCACAGAAATGTAAGTAGATGAGTGAAATTTATTTTTGGTAAGCATTTACCGTGAAATAAATTCATAACTCATTATTGCATTGCCATCTCAATACAAACAATAGATTATTTGAACATCCTGACAGCAGTTAGTATTGGAATTTCTATGGAGGAAAATCATCTTTAAATATGATGACGATGATGTTTAAAGCAATGAGTTTAGAAAAGTTTGGAGGTGATTCTCACTGTGTTACTTTGAGTCAGTCAACCATTTTATTCTACAAAAACTGTTGTTGTTGTTGTTGTTACTGTCGCATTATTTAGAGCGAATTAAGAATTCTCCAACAGTAAAATATCATAGTATTTCTTAGGATAAGACCTAAAATTGTAAGTCAGATCATTAGCGTTCTAATATTTATGCTGATGTGCCTGATAGTGATTCCAACATTGAAATCTTTTTTTTCAGTTGACAGGAGATAAAGGCAAAAAATATGGAATTAAGGTTGTTATCATTAGCTTGAGAGGTGAACATTACTTTTAAAAGAAGTTGGCTAAATACACTATAGTGATGAGTGATAGAGAATTTAAAACATTTTTAGTATTGCTTTAAGTGTAACCGTATTGTGATTATATGACGGTGTGGATAGAATAATCGAATTCTCTGCTTCTAGAATATTTCCACGATGTCCACACAATTGCTAAATTTTCATTCATTAACCGTAATTTTTGTTTCTTAATCCATGTTAGCTGGGCTCACCAGTACAGTCTTTATTACAAGACTAAATAAAGTTGTTTTCCTTTTTAGAACAACGGAAAACTGACAAGAGATATATATCCATATCATCAGAAAATGTTTTCGTCCGTGCTCGTGAGTGCTGCTGAAAAAATCATTTTGATTTTATTTCACCGACCTTTCAGTTTCTAGTGGGATGTAATCATTTAATTCCCCCAAAGAATAATTTTGCTTATATACTTTTTATACAAATCATCATTTATATTTAATATAACACACATATATAACAAGAATGATAGTTAAGTATTGAAAAGATGTACTCTACCTCTTGGTCTTCTACACCATGTTCGGTCGTATCCATCTGGATAATGTTTATTTCTGTGATATTATTATTATTATCATTATTATCCAGTTAAGTATAACAAGTAATTTTCAAATTAACTTCATCTCACATTTTGTGTAATCTTCCATGAGAAGCAGCTATTCTGAATATATCTGTAATCCGTTTTCATTTCCATATTTTTCTTCTATTGTCATGTTCCCAACAGTAGCTGTGACATTTATACTAAGATATATGAGTGAAAGTTGTGCAAATACGATTATTTTTTGTGTTAATGTTCATACTGAAATCAGTTATCAAAGAGGATTATTCAGTTGTGGAAAACTAGTGACTTTGTGTATTTGCGTATGATTGATTGGTGGTTTATTGTGATTTCGATTTGGGATGAAATTTTTCAATTTTATTTGGATGTAGGAGATCAGTATAAGTTGCTGCATCAATGATGGTTATGACTATTATCATTGTTGTCCATTGATTTCCGTGTGGAAGATACGGCGTCAGAATCACATCTGTATTTCACTGTCTTCCCTACAGTCCTTTTTAGCTGGGTGCAAAAACTTTTATCCCCTCCTCACATGATCTTCTCCATGTCACCTTCGGATGCACGCCTAATTCTTCGTTTTACATTCTATTTCCACTGGAAGTGTGGAGTATGATGGCATACAATGGTTTTCTCAGTGTGTGTCTATTCCATTTCCTCCTGCATATTTTTTTGGGCGATAGGTTCTTGGTTGGTTTGCTCCCATAGCACCTTGTTCTTAATCATTTCTCGCCGTCTGATATCTGATATCATCGACCGAACCAAATTCTTAATGAAATGCTTATCCTGGCTATATTCTTACTATAATTAACACCAGTTGTTAAGATGGACTAGTTTCATCTGATTCATTATGCACATAAACATCACTGGGAGCATTAATTGTTGAATTGGCAATTGGATCGGGTCCCAGTGGCTTAACTGTCTTGTAACCAGAAGGTCCTGGTTTCGAACCCCGGTTGATACGTACTGCTGAAGAGTCCCAAACTAGGACGAAAGAGCTGTCCAGTACTACCAGGTTTTCCAATGGTTCCCTAACCAATGTCAGCTCATGATGAAATACTGCAACCAAAGAGAAATGGTTGTTTTAGGTATAAGTAACATTTCTTTTCCATGAAACACGAATTTGTTCCAGAATACGTTTGTGGACTTGACGTTGCGTACGACAGATAAACTTTGCCCCACACGAGCAAGTAAATTGACAAATACACACTGAATTGGCCGAAAGTGGTATCTTATCCTAACGTTTGAGTGGATCAACTGTCTGCTGGAGAATGTGATACGTTAGGTGGCTGTTGGAAATGTCTTCTTCAGACATTTGGAAAGATGGTTTCTAAGAATTCCCACTGAATTTCAGGTTCATGAAGAGGTTTTTCTTAGGAACAGTTGGGATGTTTGTCGTTGGAGGCTTCTCTTTCTTGTTTTTGTTTATGAATCATTGTGTATACCCGCTCTCTAGTAGGGTTTCATGTAATAAATTTAATTCTTTCTCTATCATATCTTCCGAACAGATTTTTATAATCCTCGAACTTAATTTATGTATTATGTTTCGCTTTCAGATCAGTGTGACGAAGCTGTCGCAGTTGACAAACTGTCCCGTCCATGTTGGCTTGAGATATATCGATCTTTGGAGTGTACAATCGTGTCTTCTGGTAATTAGTACATCGAGGAATGGAAATGCGTTATTCGATTCACGTTCTAAGGTGAATTTTATTGGTGGGTGTGCTGCGTTGAAGGTTTGAGAAAATAATCTAAATCAGATTTTTTATCACAGATGATGAACGTATCATCTACTTATCTCCTGTATAAGTACAGTTGACTTATCAAAGGATCGAGGGCGTTGTTTTTGAGACTCGACATGAAGCAGTCGGCTAGGATGGACCGAGAGGAGACCCCATGGCTACACCATCTTTCTGTACGAAAAATTGTTCATTGAATTTGAACTGGATATTAAACGTACATCTGAGAAGTAATTCCTTTAGGGAGTCTATGCGAAGAGGAACTTCTAGGTTGTTGGTTTCGATGTAGTCACAAATGAAGCATATTGTTTCAGTCAGGGGGATGCTTGTGAATAGAGAGGTGACATCAATTGAGACAATTTGTCTTTCAAACACGTTGATATCCTTCACTGAGTCGAAGAAATCAAATATATCGCTAAGGCTATATTTTGTCATATGTCTCCTTACTGAGTCAAGGATATCCGCTAGCCACTTCGCTATCTGATGAGTTAACCATGTCTATGATAGGTCGAATTGGGACATTCTCCTTATTCATTTTAGGCAGTCCGTACAGTCTTGGAATAAAAGTCAATCTGAACGAAGAATATTCTTCATTATACCAAAGGTTTTTGTATTGTCCAATGAATGAAAAACAAAACGATATTGTTTTTACTGACGTATTGAATAATAATAATATTAATAATACTTTGATAAAGCTATTACTATTAAATAGCGAAACGTCAGTAAAAACAATATCGTTTTGTTTTTCATTCATTGGGAAATACAAAAAAACCCTTATTATAATGAATATCATATACTCAATGCCCAAATTTTTTCAAACCGATAAAAGTGAAGAATATTCTTTTCAATTCTTTTCAGGTTCTTACAATTATAAAATATAATATTTGTTGTCGTTACAATAAAGGCCAGTTATGCGGTGGATTCATTTTTAAACGTAGAATAACAGATTAGTTATGGGGTGTCAAAATAAATAGTCATGTTTGTGTACAAACGTGCTAGGCTGAAATCGATTAGAAAATATTATAAAATAAAAGACAATGGTGGTGATTAATCATAATAGAATTGTAGAGTGTGGGGTAGGAAAATTAACAAATCAGTTCAAGGTTATCGAAGGTGTCAGGTGAGTGGCTAGTACAAAGTGGTCTGTGTTAAACAGGAGACTGCAATGAGAGGTTCATAATGAAATAACGAATATGTGAAATGAAACAGGTGGAGGTATATATTGAGAAAACAGATAATATCACTAATAATAAGTTCGTATAAATGAAAAATTCGATAGTATTGAGGGAATGTTTGCATAAAGGGCATACATTATGACGAGTAATAATAATAATAACTAATGATAATTGTAATGATAATATTTGTAATAATAAGCAAAGGGAAAAAAACCAAAAGGGTTAAGGGGAAGGAGAACTCTTGGTGAGAAGAAGAATCACCAATCCAAGTTTGGCCACGGTAGGAACAGCGTCTGGACGTGGTTCTTTTTGTATACAAAGTTCCGGTTTAGTCGATCTTATTGCAAAAGCTTCAGCTATGTGTAGGAGACTGTGCATGATAACGATTTCGGAATTCGGTATATAACTCTGAAAGCTGTGTTGATATCGATACGATGTCCAGTATCGTCCAAGTGTGACAGAAT